TCAACTTCAACATTATATATATATATATATATATATCTTAGAGTGAGAGTTGATATTTTGATGTAAACCCTTTGTCTTTGACTGTAGATAGTTGAATACCGATTGATATTGTCCATGAACATTTTTACACTCTATAAGTCCTGGAGTGATGCAAAAGTAAAAAAAAATGAAAACAATTATGGTAACAAAAAAAAAAAAGATAAATAATGAAATGTCCTCGATAAAACTTTGGCACTACGACAGTGATGTTGACATTTGCTGGTGTTAGTGTACTGATAGTTCATCGTTCTGTTGGACGACAGTGATGTTGACATTTGCTGGTGTTAGTGTACGGATAGTTCATCGTTCTGTTGGACGACAGTGATGTTGACATTTGCTGGTGTTAGTGTACTGATAGTTCATCGTTCTGTTGGACGACAGTGATGTTGACATTTGCTGGTGTTAGTGTACTGGTAGTTCATCGTTCTGTTGGACGACAGTGATGTTGACATTTGCTGGTGTTAGTGTACTGGTAGTTCATCGTTCTGTTGGACGAGTGAAGTTGACACTCTGCTGAACGATAGTGATGTTGACATTTGCTGGTGTTAGTGTACGGATAGTTCATCGTTCTGTTGGACGACAGTGATGTTGACATTTGCTGGTGTTAGTGTACTGGTAGTTCATCGTTCTGTTGGACGACAGTGATGTTGACATTCTGTTGGACGACAGTGATGTTGACATTTGCTGGTGTTAGTGTACTGGTAGTTCATCGTTCTGTTGGACGACAGTGATGTTGACATTTGCTGGTGTTAGTGTTCTGGTAGTTCATCGTTCTGTTGAACGACAGTGATGTTGACAGTGATGTTGACATTTGCTGGTGTTAGTGTACTGGTAGTTCATCGTTCTGTTGGACGACAGTGATGTTGACATTCTGTTGGACGACAGTGATGTTGACATTTGCTGGTGTTAGTGTACAGATAGTTCATCGTTCTGTGACGACAGTGATGTTGACATTCTGTTGGACGACAGTGATGTTGACATTTGCTGGTGTTAGTGTACGGATAGTTCATCGTTCTGTTGGACGACAGTGATGTTGACATTTGCTGGTGTTAGTGTACTGGTAGTTCATCGTTCTGTTGGACGACAGTGATGTTGACATTCTGTTGAACGACAGAGATGTTGACATTTGCTGGTGTTAGTGTACTGGTAGTTCATCGTTCTGTTGGACGACAGTGATGTTGACATTTGCTGGTGTTAGTGTACTGATAGTTCATCGTTCTGTTGGACGACAGTGATGTTGACATTTGCTGGTGTTAGTGTACGGATAGTTCATCGTTCTGTGACGACAGTGATGTTGACACTCTGCTGGACGACAGTGATGTTGACATTTGCTGGTGTTAGTGTACGGATAGTTCATCGTTCTGTTGGACGACAGTGATGTTGACACTCTGCTGGACGACAGTGATGTTGACATTTGCTGGTGTTAGTGTACTGGTAGTTCATCGTTCTGTTGGACGACAGTGATGTTGACATTTGCTGGTGTTAGTGTACGAATAGTTCATCGTTCTGTGACGACAGTGATGTTGACATTTGCTGGTGTTAGTGTACTGATAGTTCATCGTTCTGTTGGACGACAGTGATGTTGACATTCTGTTGGACGACAGTGATGTTGACATTTGCTGGTGTTAGTGTACAGGTAGTTCATCGTTCTGTTGGACGACAGTGATGTTGACATTTGCTGGTGTTAGTGTACTGGTAGTTCATCGTTCTGTTGGACGACAGTGATGTTGACATTTGCTGGTGTTACTGTACTGGTAGTTCATCGTTCTGTTGGACGACAGTGATGTTGACATTTGCTGGTGTTAGTGTACTGATAGTTCATCGTTCTGTTGGAAGACAGTGATGTTGACATTTGCTGGTGTTAGTGTACTGGTAGTTCATCGTTCTGTTGGACGACAGTGATGTTGACATTTGCTGGTGTTAGTGTACTGGTAGTTCATCGTTCTGTTGGACGACAGTGATGTTGACATTTGCTGGTGTTAGTGTACTGGTAGTTCATCGTTCTGTTGGACGACAGTGATGTTCACATTTGCTGGTGTTAGTGTACGGATAGTTCATCGTTCTGTTGGACGACAGTGATGTTGACATTCTGTTGGACGACAGTGATGTTGACATTTGCTGGTGTTAGTGTACGGATAGTTCATCGTTCTGTTGGACGACAGTGATGTTGACATTTGCTGGTGTTAGTGTACGGATAGTTCATCGTTCTGTGACGACAGTGATGTTGACATTCTGTTGGACGACAGTGATGTTAACATTTGCTGGTGATAGTGTACAGGTAGTTCATCGTTCTGTTGGACGACAGTGATGTTGACATTTGCTGGTGTTAGTGTACAGGTAGTTCATCGTTCTGTTGGACGACAGTGATGTTGACACTCTGCTGGACGACAGTGATGTTGACATTAGCTGGTGTTAGTGTACTGATAGTTCATCGTTCTGTTGGACGACCGTGATGTTGACCTTCTGTTGGACGACAGTGATGTTGACATTCTGTTGGACAACAGTGATGTTGACATTTGCTGGTGTTAGTGTACTGATAGTTCATCGTTCTGTTGGACGACAGTGATTTTAACATTTGCTGGTGTTAGTGTACTGGTAGTTCATCGTTCTGTTGGATGTTGACAGTGTTAGTGTACTGATAGTTCATCTTTCTGTTGGACGACAGTGATTTTAACATTTGCTGGTGTTAGTGTACTGGTAGTTCATCGTTCTGTTGGACGACAGTGATGTTGACATTCTGTTGGACGACAGTGATGTTGACATTCTGTTGGACGACAGTGATGTTGACATTTGCTGGTGTTAGTGTACTGATAGTTCATCGTTCTGTTGGACGACAGTGATGTTGACAGTGATTTTAACATTTGCTGGTGTTAGTGTACTGATAGTTCATCGTTCTGTTGGACGACAGTGATGTTGACATTTGCTGGTGTTAGTGTACTGATAGTTCATCGTTCTGTTGGACGACAGTGATGTTGACATTTGCTGGTGTTAGTGTACTGATAGTTCATCGTTCTGTTGGACGACAGTGATGTTGACATTTGCTGGTGTTAGTGTACTGATAGTTCATCGTTCTGTTGGACGACAGTGATGTTGACATTTGCTGGTGTTAGTGTACGGATAGTTCATCATTCTGTTGGACGACACTGATGTTGACATTCTGTTCAAAAAGTTGACGTGACTCATGTCATTTCTTGAAAATCTAAATGGATTAAGTTGATAATAAAGATGTTTATCTTTATTTAGAATCAATGTACTAGTGTGTTCTATCGTACTTTTTCCGTTGGTAGGTGAAAACTGGTTTCACACACATGTAATATTTTTTTGATTCTATATAATAAATATTTGAAATAAGATTTCATTATACCTGGAAATGTTGCACCAGAATTAACACCAAACCTTGTGTATTCTAAGCTGTTTTTTCCTGGGTGGGTGAAAACTGGTTAATGGTTTCCTACATTTTACTGATTCAATACAATGAATTTTTTAAATGAAATTTCACTGTAAGCTCGGAAAGATATAAAAATATTTACAGTGGCTGTTTAATGCTTAATAGTAAACCTGTATATGTGAAATATCATTTAAAGCCATTAACTTTACAAGTTCTTAATACAGAGGCAAATTCTTTGTCCCAACTTACCCAAAAAAGTTTTTTCCCATTTTTCTTCCAATAAGTATGCTTATCTACGGTACCTGTAGGAAATCCTTCCCTCAATTACACAGAAGCAGTAAAGTAGATCAATACCAGCTCACTCTCCGATCACTTAGTATGTATTTCTATTGTTAATGGTGTATTACAGCTGACAATTACCTGGTATATAAAAGGCTAACGTTCTATAAAAAGAAATGTCTGATGTAATACATTGTATGGTTACATCACTGTAAGTGACAGGAATGGATTTAAATAGACATTGTATGGTTACCTCACTGTATGTGACAGGAATGGATTTAAATACACATTGTATGGTTACATCACTGTAAGTGACAGGAATGGATTTAAATAGACATTGTATGGTTACATCACTGTAAGTGACAGGAATGGATTTAAATAGACATTGTATGGTTACATCTTTGTAAGTGACAGGAATGGATTTAAATAGACATTGTATGGTTACATCACTGTAAGTGACAGGAATGGATTTAAATAGACATTGTATGGTTACATCACTGTAAGTGACAGGAATGGATTTAAATAGACATTGTATGGTTACATCACTGTAAGTGACAGGAATGGATTTAAATAGACATTGTATGGTTACCTCACTGTAAGTGACAGGAATAGATCTAAATACACACATAATAGTGTACATCATAAATGGTAAAGCATCATGTCAAGTCAAAAATGGAAACTTGAGAAAAATCTTCTTCAAATACCCCGTCCTTGTTTTATGGATTAGGGCCCAATGCCTGGCCTTTAGTAATCCCTTGTCCACAAATCCTGGTTGATAACTTCAGTACTTATTGACTATTTACATGAAATTTCGTCAAAGTGTTTACTTCAGAAAAATACACATTGATGTCAGAATGCTAAGTCATCGTTTGTATATCTTCTTTTCTGAACATCTGGTCATGACATTATGAAGCAAAGTTGGTCACAATGAAACAAAAAGACAACAGAGCAAAGATCAAAATCATTTGGTGTTATCTCAAAAGGTCAAGGACAAAATACATCACAAGAAATAAGAAGAAAGGAGCCAAAGGTTAAGTCACCTGGTCATAAGTGCAAATGTGTTTCTATCGACAGTTCTTTTTACCTTGTGATAAATCAACATGATTACATGTAGCTGAGTGGGTTGGGCCAGAGACATAAAACCTTGTCATCAAACAGTATATCCTGGCCAGTCTGTATTTCTCTTAATTTAAACAGTGGGTGTGCATGTCCTACACTACTGCTGTAGTGTACATTTGTAGATATTTCAATACAGATCTGTAAAGATTTCATCTACCAATAAAGACAACTCACAAAGACTTGATTTTTATTATATCATGTACATAATAATTCCACTGATTTCAGCTTGAAATAATTTAAACCCTAATGAAAGATGATGAGATTATCTAAAAATAGAGCCCCAGTTCTGTTCTTCTGACAAACTGATCACCCAGAAAAAATATTTGAGAAAAAAATTCCTCATTCTTAAGATCTTACTGTTGAAGTTTACATGGTCTAAATGTTACATGGTACAAATGCGTTACTCCAATCTTCTGACCCTATACAGTTCATGAAAGCTGTGAACACATGCTGACAAACAATGGTTACTGTTCCAAGTAATCATCACACAAAGTACTTAGTTGACAAATGACCCTCAATGGTATTACATGGGCCCTCAATGGTATTACATGGGCCCTCAATGGTATCACATGGGCCCTCAATGGTATTACTGTTGATCAACTATGCAAACTATCCCTTATTTTTCTCTTGTTCCTGTCCTGATACTTAGCAATACCTACTTGGACAATTCCACTAGAAACTTTACAAGTAGTCCCCATCATGGCTTCCATTGCACTCCTAATTTTGAAGTTTCAGGTCCATGGCTGTTTGAGATGAATATTTTAGAGCATCAGTTGTGTCCCAACCTATTGCCATAAAGTCTCCAACATTCCTTTTTCCACCTAATCATTCATCAGCCTTAGTCTCAGCTTCCTCCTCTAAATCCTCGGCCACACCCATGCCTTCATCCTCTTCTTCACTATCTTCATCTCCACTCACCTCGCGATTTTCATCTTCAAGCTGCTGTAGTTTCTTGGCCAGTTCCTGCTCATCTATGTCTGACACCACACGAGGCTGTTGGACAAACAAAGCAGAAAAGTTCATTCCATATTATAGATATAGAATAACAGAAATTTTTTCCTGACTGATGAAAGAAAAGTGACTGAATTATCTCCCTGTATTATACAATGTTTCAACATATTACAGAAATATCTTGATATAGGACATCTCTGGCCTCTAATGACATAATGAAAAACAGGAATTTCCTGTTTCTGGATATCATATATACCTCCGGCCTCCTCAAGATATAATTAAACACAGAACCACTAGAACAACCCCTCATCGCCGACTGACAGATTACTGGCAAGACTTTAAGAACAGTCAAGAATGACTGTTACAACTTCACGACAAATACATTCAACAGTGACCTTGACATAAGAACTTGGGATATAAAAACCAATATCAAGCTTTGACTTCTGGGTCTGAAAAGTAATCTGTAGCAAGAACTTGAAGTAAGAAAGCATTGTATGAAGTCTGAATTTGATTAGCTGCATCAAACTCCAGTTATTCCACAAAATCAATTTTCCATTATTGCAGCAATAACCTCAACCTTTGACCTCTGGGTCTGAAAAGTAATCTGTAGCAAGCCACTTTTGTAATGAAGCATTGTATGAGGCCCTAATTACCTGTCTCTGGATATAAAACACACCTCCAGCCTCCCTATTGATATAATTAAACACAGAAATTACCTGTTTCTGGATATAAAACACACCTCCAGCCTCCCTATTGATATAATTAAACACAGAAATTACCTGTTTCTGGATATAAAACACACCACCAGCCTCCCTATTGATATAATTAAACACAGAAATTACCTGTTTCTGGATATAAAACACACCTCCAGCCTCCCTATTGATATAATTAAACACAGAAATTACCTGTTTCTGGATATTAAATACACCACCAGCCTCCTCTATGTTTTGTTTGATGGCATCTAATGCCTTGTTTAACATGGCCAGGCCATCTGATCTTTCAAGTGTCTGTGTTGTCATCACATACAGTGGTGGCGCAATCAAATTTATCTGAAATTTTAAACAACACTTTGGTAATTTCGGTCTTTGATATACATACAGATTATGTATGGTAGCTGTAATGCCCATACAACAAACTGGATAGTAAAAGTACATTTTGGGTCAGAAATGAAAGTACAAAAGGTATCTCAGGGAGCAATAACAACAGGTGTCATAAGTCAGGCACTGGACCAGGCTTAACGACCTGTGAGTGACAGGTAGTGATGCACCTCAGTGTTGAAACACCATGGCAGAATATCGCCGGTATGAGTGATCAGAACAGGTAAATGCTCTCTCCTGTCTGCCTCGTGCTGGCGAACGTATTTGTAAGTAAACAAGATAAGAAACAATGTATAAGGTAGATCAAAGATGGGAAGTTGATAACGGGTACTCCTAGTCGCACGTGCCTTCATAATTAGATGTTCCGTGGGTTGGGTTATTTTTGTCCCATAGGGAATAAGCTGAAATTAAGTATTTGGGTATTATTTAAACTAAGACAATAGCTAGCAGAAGTCTAGTCTGGGATCGAGTAGCTAGAGAGAGTTGGAGTCGGAGGTGGAGACGGGCAGAGTCCCATATGGGACCTGCTCCGTGATGGAGCGGGCCCTTGCCAAGTTGGTACAAGGACATTTGTATGGAACTCTTTGATATGGACAGGTAACCTATAGAACCTGAGGATGCTTCTGTATGTTGATTAGGAACTATCTTTTGTAATGGATGTTAACGCGAAGTACTAACTATGGAAAACCACTATACGATGAAATAAACGTTTCGGCCAACCCAAGTAAACACCACATTTAGTCATTGTGTTACACAAGTCCAGTGTCTTGATTAGTGCTCTGTGCAACATTTACATCAGCAACTTTTTGTAAAAGAACTTTAGACAAATTGACTTCTAATGTAATTATTTTTGGTTGTGATTGGACTAACAACCATCAAACATGATTGTCATTTATCATACCTTTCTAACTGTGTAAAAACATCTGGTGCTGAATTTTTTTTGCTATTGCATAAGTGTAATAATATGACCTAATGCAATTTTAATTGGGTGAAGGTTGCTATTGTTCTCAGGATCAAGTCATAACTTCCTGGCATCATATGAAATGTGTCGTCAGCAAAGAAAGAGATCTACCGCAAATATTGCAAGTTAAGTTTTTGTATCAAATCTAATGCAATAATTGCAAAAATCTTGCCAAAGTCCTCTAAATTATGCAATAAACAGAATCTTGCACGAGTTCCCATTCACACAAGATTATGGAACTAATTACAGTTTTTTCATCTCACCTCATCAGAGGTTCAGTAAAGTGAAAAACCCTGAGACTTGTTCCTAATGAGAAATGGAACTCGTGTAAAATATCGTGAAAAACCCTGTGACTTGTTTCTAATGAGAAATGGAACTCAGGTAAGATATCCAATAACTATTACACCTTTTCAGACACTTGTGAAGATTATGAAACCTGACAGGTTATAAATAGAACTAATTATACATTCACACCAAATTCTACAGAAATTTCCCTCACACTCAATTCTACAGACCTTTCCCTCACACTCAATTCTACGGACCTTTCCCTCAAACTCAATTCTATGGACCTTTCCCTCACACCCAATTCAACAGACCTTTCCCTCACACTCAATTCTACCGACCTTTCCCTCACACTCAATTCTACAGACCTTTCCCTCACACTCAATTCTATGGACCTTTCCCTCATACCCAATTCTACAGATTTTTCCCTCACATTCAATTCTACGGACATTTCCCTCAAATCCAATTCTACAGAACTTTCCCTCACACTCAATTCCACAGATTTTTCCCTCACACCCAATTCTACAGACCTTTCCCTCACACTCAATTCTATGGACCTTTCCCTCACACCCAATTCTACGGACATTTCCCTCACACTCAATTCTACCGACCTTTCCCTCACACCCAATTCTACAGACCTTTCCCTCACACTCAATTCTACAGACCTTTCCCTCACACTCAATTCTACAGACATTTCCTTCACACTCAATTCTACAGACCTTTCCTTCACATTCAATTCTACAGAACTTTCCCTCACACTCAATTCTACAGACCTTTCCCTCACATCCAATTCTACAGACCTTTCCCTCACACTCAATTCTATGGACCTTTCCCTCACACCCAATTCTACAGAACTTTCCCTTACACCCAATTCTACAGACCTTTCCTTCACACTCGATTCTACAGACCTTTCCTTCACACTCAATTCTACACACCTTTCCCTCACACCCAATTCTACGGACCTTTCCCTCACACCCAATTCTACAGACCTTTCCCTCACACTCAATTCTACAGACCTTTCCCTCACACTCAATTCTACAGACATTTCCTTCACACTCAATTCTACAGACCTTTCCCTCACATTCAATTCTACAGAACTTTCCTGTACACCCAATTCTACAGACCTTTCCTTCACACTCGATTCTACAGACCTTTCCTTCACACTCAATTCTACAGACCTTTCCTTCACACTCAATTCTACACACCTTTCCCTCAAATCCAATTCTACAGATTTTTCCCTCACATTCAATTCTACGGACATTTCCCTCACACTCAATTCTACGGACATTTCCCTCACACTCAATTCTACAGACCTTTCCGTCACACTCATTTCTACAGACCTTTCCCTCACACTCAATTCTATGGACCTTTCTCTCATACTCAATTCTACAGAAGATTTCCCCCACACTCAATTCTACCTTTCTCTCATACTCAATTCTACAGAATTCTACAGAAGATGATCACCCTCCTACAGCGTTTTGTTACCTTAATTGGCATGGCCTCTGATGTCAGTTCCAGGCCTTTCTTCAATGCTCTCTTCACAGCATCCACACCCTCATAGTTTGTACAAGCCACTTCTAAATCTAATACAAGCACAAGAAGAATTTTTCATAGATAGGTACAATTTCATTATTGAAATAACAAAAATTGATTGCTATCTATATGTATCAAATTACTGGGATTTTTTTCTCAAGATCAAAATATAGATAAATGGTGTTGTGAGGTATAATTGGCTGCTAGGGCCCTATAGAATGTATTTAACCACTGGGTATCTATTCCTCATCCTGCTTCGAGGCATGTGACCAAATGCTTTAGTCAGATTTCTGTCTACTCAAGGACAAAACAAAATCTAGTGATTTATTTTACAATGATGGACACTTACCTGCTCGGATCTTGACTGCCTGTGGCGTTAGTCGTCGTCTGATATTCTCAAGTAAAACACCTTTTGTTTCATCATCAATGTTACATTCATCCAATATTTCAGGATTTCTAACAAAGAAAAAAGTTACATAAATAATCAGGGTCTCTTCTCATTACAGCATTTTTGTTGATATTGAAAAAGTCAACAACTGGTACAGTAACTAAACCTGCTGAACAAACTTAATGCTTGGGATATCATTATTTATTCAGTACCATGTTTGGTAATCAGCCCACCAATATCTATACAGAAAAATGTTATTTCACTCCCTGAAATATTTCCTTTCCCCTCCAACTCTGTGCTTATTACATGAAAGATACTGTAGATTAGGATCTATTCCGTGCTTATGATCTCTCTGAACCAAATTGAAGCAGGACATTCCAAAAAATTTCAACGCATAACATTCATGTATATCTGTCTCATATTGTAGAACCTGAAATCCCCAATCACCTCCAGTCTTATCACATCAATATATTTTCTCAGATTATGATGGATACAACTCATGTTAATACCTACGTTACAGCATGTTTGAATGCTTCATAAGACGATCCAGGTTTTTTGTACTTGTCATCAAAGTACCAGGCTGTCTTTTTGTAAAGGTCTTCTAACTGTTCTTCGCTTCCATATTCCAACAATTCTCCTACATGGCGAAGTATGCTGTTTACCTACAAGTTGGAAGAAAATTTGAAAACAGATTCTAAAATTCACCAACCTGAGATTAGGAAATGCATTTCAGCCAATAAGTATGTACAGAAAACAAGAGATCCCTGAGGGATCATGGCACCCACCATTGTTTGATTTTTATTTGCTCTTTAAAAGCTGGATATTTTCCCTTCTTTTCTCTTCTCTTCCCTGTTTTTGCTCTTAAGGATAAAAAATTTCAATATTCCTTTGCAGAAATAGCAATGATAATCTTTACCTACCAAATCCAAGATGGTCACCTGGAAGCCATTTATTTATCTTTTTCTGATTAGTCCCAAAATCAAACGAGCACAAGTAGTGACCAAAAGGAACATATAATGAAATTTGAAAGAGATCCATTCAGTAGTCCTTAAGAAATAGGGAAAACAATCTACACTAGGTAAAATCCAAGATGGCTACCTGTCTGTCATTTTTTGTTTTTTCTGATCAGCCCCAAAATCTGACAGGCACAACTAGGGACCAAGAGGAAACTACACATGAAATTTGAGAAAGATCTATGTTGTATTTCTCAAGAAACAGCCAGGACAAACTTTTGAAGTCAAAATCTAAGATTGCCATCTATTGGCCATTTTCTTTCTCTGATCAGTACCAAAATCTAACAGGCACCAAGGGTAACAAACAAATGAAATCTGAGAAAGATCCATCCAGCACTTCTCAAGAAACAGTGATAACAAAAATTGTTTATGAACAGATGACTGGACATTTTGAATAGCCCACCATCTGATGATGGCGAGTTAAAAAAGACAAGGTTATGAAAGAAATATGTCACAAAATCATTAATTCCAATCTACTTACTGCCTTTGCCTTTGCAAATTTTTCTTCACATTTAGCAACTTCTTCTTGGGAAACTCTTCTTTTAGACAAATCAATATAACCTGTGGACAGAAAGGACATGTTTGTCAAAGACCTTGTGACAGGATTACGCTATCAAACTTGTTAAACTTTTCCCATCTACAACTGCAACCAGTTCTTCATTTTGTAAATATCCCATCACTTACCATCTTAATTAGTTGTAGAATTATGTCATTCGCACATGAATTAAAATTTTTTGGAAAAAAAATTGATTAATACATATATGAAATACACTATACTTCCAAACTTTTGATGATTTTCTGTTCAAAATATAGGCCTATCATTCAGACTTGCTCCCTTCTCTTATTTCCATGACTTAACTTAAAAAAATTCAGTATCTTGATACCTTTGTCTTTATCTACCCTGATTACTACAACACATTCACTCCGGCCAACCCTGATGAGTTTGTTGATGGAACGTATACGCCTCCTTGACAATTCACTGAGTAAAATCATGCCCTCGATATTGTTGTATTCCAGTAGGTGTACATATGCTCCCATTTCTGCTATAGACTGCACATTCACCATCACCACATCCTCCATCTCTGGGTATTTGTTAGCGTAAAAACGACAAGTCAACACCATTTTGACAGTCTATGTATGTAATGCTCCGTAAAGTCACAAACCTGAAAAACAAAGGCAGATTTACTTTAATCAAGAGGTCATCCATTCTATAAATATTTTTTTATAATATCATAGTTATATAATCAAGTACAAAATAACTTTATAGATATCAACACAGAACTTCAGATTATTTCATATTACATGTCAGCCTTAAGTATACTTGTTCATATCCTTATATAAAGCTACAACTGACCGTTTAAGCAAGATTTTTGAATAGATGATATGACAAGCTTGTTTCTACTCTGCTGATCATACTGGTTCCCTGAAATGAGTAGTATATGAATATGGAAGCTTTGTTTAATATATGACCTATATCAGTATTAACATTATCTTTTGATGAAATAGTTGCATTCTTTCTGCTTTCCATTTGATCCTGCTAAAATTACTTCTATATCAACATGTAAGATGTTAGAATCAAGCATCTGCCTATAGAATATTAGATATCCACAACATGAAAATTAAATTTTATACACAAACCTTCTCAAACACCCATGTGGACAAGTCATTCTATTTATAAAACATAACTACTTTACAGATGGACATACATTCTAGTTCATTTGTACAAAGTGCATATACATAAGTGTTCCTCATATTTCAGTTGTAAAATGATACTTACTATGAAACATCAAATTCATATGGTACAGTTATGTAACTCTGGTAAATACAAACTGCAATTTACTGCTTGGCTAGAGAGAACTTCTCTTTAGCTCAATGGGTTGACCGCCAGACGAGAACGCCAAAGGTCCTGGGTTTGAATCCTAGCAGAGGCATTGAAATAAGAAATGACCTCTGTTACATTGGGGACCATGTGGGGACTCAGGAATAATACTCAGCCATGCCACAACAGCATCGCTGTAACCCCTGGAAACTTGAGGACAAGTGATTTCCTGGAGGGGGAGTATGTAACCCTGGTAAATACTAGTCGCAATATATAGCTCAGCTAGAGAGAACTTCTGTTTAGTTCGATCAGTTGAGCATCAGAGTAGTAAGCCAGGGGTTCCAGGTTCAAAACTAGTTGGAGCATTGAAATAAGTAATGGCCTCTGTTACAGGTATATATAAAGTACTTTCTAAGTTAAGTTTATTTCTGGGCCAAGATTTAGAAAATTCTCTTCGCCGGACTCAAAACATATATGAATACACAGTACATAATACTAAAATGTTAGACAAAATGTACAGTGCAATACAGTGGTATAGACTGGTCAGTTTCGCTTAAGTAAATTTTAAGGTCAAAAAGAAAGTTTGGCTCTATAATTGTAAACAATATCCTGATTTTCCCAAAATTTATCTAATCAATTTTTGAAACAGTTAGTGGTTGGTGCTGATATAATGGATTCTGGTAAAGAGTTCCAAATGCATGCTGATCTAATGGTAAAAGAGTTCCTTCTTTGTGTAGAATTTGCTCTTTGTGGAAAGAGTTTTTTGGTATTCCCTCTTCCGCTGTGTTTAGAAGCCACTTCTGACCATAATTTTATTAAAGTACAACATTCTTTATCATAAATCCCGTTTGTCATTTTGTATACTTCAATCATGTCCCCGTGCATACGCCGATATGACAAAAGTGTTAAGTCAGGAACCGTCTGGATTTTCCAGAACATTAGATTTCATTCTTTGTCTTCAAGGTCTTTTGCTTCACATATCAATGATGTTTTCGTTTTATCTGAGTTAGAGTTACTTATGTCATATTCACATATTTACTGTTGTGGTCTTCAGGGACCCTCTTTACGATCTCTATAGGTCTCCCATCTACATATCTCAACTCATTACATTAATTACCCTGCTAAGAGTGTTTCCGTGATTTTTATAATTATTGAGGAATAAATAGATTTATATGTAAATATGAGACATTTTCTCTGTAGTTATTGGGAAATTAAATCATTATTAACTAATGCCTTGTCCCAAATTATTGCCTTGTGCTGTGAAAGCATACTTCACCAGATTTTATAGTTACATTTCGCGTGCGGTCTCGTTTATACGGACAGAAAAGTGCATTTTCAATTGCATAAGTGTGAACATGAAGCTGATAAGTGCAAATAGATTATGATGCGGTATCTTACACACAATGAAAGAGAAATGTCAGACTACCTCTCGCAAAATTCAGCTTCTGTCCATGTGTTCTGATGCAAGTTGTTGAAATAGACATTTTACGGAATATAATATAAAACGAAATAAAACATATTATAATATGGAATACTGAAGTCATTTCGTTGCTATAAAATCATTTAAGTCGATATCATTTCCTGGACAAATATCCCACAATTAATAAAAAAATCAATATTTAGTTTTCTTGTGTTCATGCATGTCAGATGTTAATTTTAATAATTTGAAAATTGTATCAACTCTATTTGCTTGTGCTAGTTCCGGTCTAAACAGGAAGCGCGAAAAAATGAATGACAGAAGCCCTGGTCGGACCTTAGTTTCCATTTTACTTCTAAAGTGATGCGTGGCATCATGATGTAAGATGCAAGTGCAACTAATCTGTAGACAATATTATCAACTGTACCATGGCGAGTTCTCAAGAGGACGATCTAGTGGCAAAAACGTATTCAAAAATGAAAGAAGTTGAAGAAACCTTCGCACATCTTGAAAAGGCTTCTGTGCCATCTATACCAGTGATAGGAACTTTTGCCGAGGGAGATGATAATATGCCCGAATTGTGTCCAAAAATTCTCGCTGCAAGATTCAGAAGAATCAAGGCAGAATTAAATGTTGTACACAGTTCGCCAATGACCTACATTGCTGATGAAGAAGAAGTGCAATTTGAAATATTTACAAAGGAACTTGAGAAAGATGTTTTAGAATTGCAAGAGACATATTCTTTTGTGTGCGGACAAAACAAAGACATTGATAATATGATAAGAAAAGAGGAAGAAATACTGGAGCAGAACAAATGTGTATCAGAAATGCTTCAGAATAAACTTCAGAATCCAGAGGAAGAATGTGAAAGCGTACCGGATCGTCAGAAAGAGGAGATTTATAAAAAAATTCAGAAAGGAGAACGCTATCTGAAGGAGGTTGTGAAAAAACTTGGGTTATTTGTTGACAAACATTTTCCATTGCCATCACAAGAGGTGTTTTCAGAGCAAATGAAAAAGTTACGATCAACAGATCGTAAATTGAAACTGCGCGACATGATATCATTAAAACAGATATTAGAAAGCCTCATGAACAAGTGTGTGGATGAACCAAGTGACCCTTACATTACCATGGATCATCGATTTTGGCCACCTTACATTGAACTTTTGATCACATGTCAGATTGCTGTACGACATCCAGACAACAAAGACATGATCAAATTATCACCGTTTCATCTCTGATTGCAGTTTCATTTTAACAGTTTCTTACATGTAACTTTATTATTCATATTAGCTCACCTGTTTGATGGCAATGGAGTTAATGCCAGATGTCTGTCTGTCTAGTTTAAACTTATTCCTGATAAAATAAATCCTATTTAGCTAATATTTTTTGTATAGTGTTGTGGTGTTTTAAGTCACAATTGCTGTTATGGATCTATCAACACCAGAACTTTTTGTTACATGAGGTTACAAAAAAATTTTGAATGTGTGAAAAAGCAAATGTTAAAGTGCATTGTTTATCAAAGATGTGTACACTTGTCAGCAGAATAAGAATATTGAAGATGTAACATGTTATTGCCAAATTTTCAAATCTGTGAAGATTTTAATAAATTTGTTTAAGAGTTCTTAAACTTTTCTGATATGTGTTTAAGGATTTATTTGTAGTTCGCAAAGAGCCAGCTGTATCATTCTGAGTCTTCTAACCTTGTAGTAGCTGGTTGTTACCTCACTGAACAACATATGAGAGGCCGGTCAAATGCCATAAGAGTTATAAGGGTAAAGTGCTATTGACCTATTAACATCAACACAGACAATGCAAGGTGTGTCCAACCTTAAGTTGTGAAGGCTAGTGCTCAAATCAACTATTGAGGATTAAATAGTACAAAGAGAAGTATAAGTGGAGACTGCTTTTTACATATGATATACCTCTAAGGTAAACTTTACAAGAAAATGCTGTTGAGTTTTTTTTTTCATTGAAATCTAAGAAAGATGAAAAAAATACTTATCAACAAATACTGTGGATTCATTTATTTTCGTTGGGTTCAATTTTCGTTGTTTCTACAAATTAGACAGTTTCGTGGACTCATAAATTCGTGGATTTTTTATTCTGTGGGAAAAAAATAAAAACGTTAGAATTTTCTCTTTTTGCTTCCAGTCGAATTTTTTTCTGTTTGTATTAAGGCTAAGACAAGAATAAAAGAACGTTTTTTTTCAAGATGGCGTCCTGTGTTTTTATAACGCTGTTTACAACAGTCTCGCATTAATATCAAACCACAAATCAGTATATATCCTGGCGTGTAATCAATCGGTAATTATCAGAAACAATTGTTTTCAGTGGATAAACATTGTGTGCTGATCAGTCGGTGTACCGCAGTCATATGAAAACACCACGCGTATCGATTGGACCATGTGTGTAAACAGGTGTGTAAACAAGATCTGCATTATTAATAATTATTGTGAACCTGTAGTCGGATAGAAATACGGATCCAATCTTCAATCGACAGGATGGTCCGATCAAGCCTAGTGTCCACAGTGTCGCTAACGACTGCGATCCCATCATACTTAGCATCACAATGGGTACTTACCCTTTGTTATGTTTAATAATATATAATTATATATCGTTGACACCAATTTAGCGTATCCATGTCGAGCCTCAGACTACCCGACTCCTGACTAATTACGGGGCTTCTGTCATTACCGGTGGACGTTTCCGGTGTTGGCAAAGATTACTTGGTCAAATTTCAAAATTACTTTAGTAAGTAGTTCATATTTCGTTATGTTTTTAAATTCGTGGATTTGCTCATCCACGAAAACAACGAAAATTGGACCCCCACGAAATAAAATGAATCCACAGTATGACATTTCATTATGAAAATTATTAATTGTACGTTTTAAATATTTGTGTTAGGGTCCTAAAAATGTAAAAGATTACCTAAAACAGACCTTGAAGTGTTTTGATAGACAGAAATATTATGTTTCACCCTTTACTTTTCTTACTAAACTTTTGTAGATTTAATTTCTCAAATTCTAAATTCCAAACAACAATTTCTTGAGTCACAATTAGGTAAAAAAAACTAGAAAACATGTCAAATTAAGAATGTGGAAAGCAGAACAAGGCAAATGATTAGACCTCTTCAGGGCCTTTTTCTGCAGGACTTGGGGCCATGCTTGGCCCCGATTCCAAGTGGCAGTCATAAACTTGATAGTGCAGTCCCATGTTTTGTTGACTTTCAGCTCTGGATTCAGATGCTGATGTTTATGCTTTAGCACAGTATGAGCTACAACGGAGAGAAATAAACCTATAATTTCTTATTAAAATCTTGATTTTTTTTTTCTATTTTTCTCTGTTTTGAGATTTTTGTCATTTTCCCCAACTTTAAAGCCCTGGGCCTCATTTCCAAAATAGTGAAAAAGAAACCCTTGTCCTTCCATGCAGGAGGAGAAAGACAGAATTCGATACTCTACCTTAATATAGCTAGAGCTGGACATATTATCCTGCTGTCCTTATAAAAACAGTTAACGCATGCATGTTGAGCCAAACATCTGGATAACATGGGTGCCAAGTTCTAAAATACAAAAGTTTCTTAGAAAAAACGGGTCAGTTGAGCAAAAAAAATGTGTCCTATTATTTTTGGTAACAATTTTAAGAACAGGTATATATGCTTTGTGCAATGGAAGTTTTTTTTTCTAACTGAGAATCGGTTTTAAAATGATTAAGGAGCTACTTCCCCATGTTATTCTCAAAATCTACCTACATCAATTCTAAATGATATATTTATCAAAGCTGTATCAAAGATTTCCAAGTCTCTATTTTATTCATTATTTCATGCACACCCTATGTTAAGGATATAAATTAATTTAGATGCATTAATCTTACAGACATGTTTGTGTTAGACCATGCAATTTGTAGTTACAAATTTTGTCACTGTTGTGTCAGTAATTATAGATTATAGATCATACTCTGTACATGTTTGTAATCTTTTAATGATTCAATGTATTTTTTACAAGATTAGCACTTAATGAGAAACACTTGAGTTGTGTAGAAATATTAGCCTGTCTTAACTCTGTTGTGAAGGTTTTTTACATTTTTGGAAAGAAAAATGTGTAGACTCAATGATTGTTGAGTTTTTTTTTTCCCCTGGTTGAAATAAGCTTTCAAAAATCAAGTGATTTTGATATAAGAACAGAATAAAGAAGTTGAAACTATTTATGCTATCAAAGTCACAAATACAAGAAAATTTTGTGTATTTTAAGATAATTTATAGAAGGGAGTACCTACTTGTACATGTAAAAGTTGGAGCCTAATAGGACAGTCACTAGGTACTGGCTGTAGGATGGTGTGACTTTACTCCAGGAACTCCTCCATTACCTAAACCTTGCTTGTCTTTAAAATTACCCTGCTTGTTACGAGGATGTAAAGTATCAATATGCAAACAAATTGTACATATATAATGTATGTTTTGAACCTTTTTAAAAAGTTTTTTACAAAGAGTTATTGACATCCCATTTTCAGTATGTACAGTGTATATTTGATGCTGATGAGAAAACTGTTACACTTAGTTAGCAACACCGTCGTGATATTGGTGTGATCTATAATAAAGCATTACCCCATGATCAATTGATGTTATTGGGCATCTCATCTTCAGAAAAAATCAGAATGTTGAAAAATATCTCCATCTATAACATAAATGTTAAAATGATGTAGATTTATCGAATGTCATGGTGTAAATCTACATTGTATATATATATGTAGGCCGTGTCTGAGGTATCTCAGTCTGTAGGAAGGCCTTGTCTGAGGTATCTCAGTCTGTAGATAGGCCTTGTCTGAGGTATCTCAGTCTGTAGCACCTAATGTCATGGTGTAAATCTACATCGTATTTATGTGTATGTAGGCCTTGTCTGAGGTATCTCAGTCTGTAGATAGGCCGTGTCTGAGGTATCTCAGTCTGTAGGAAGGCCGTGTCTGAGGTATCTCAGTCTGTAGCTCCTAATGTCATGGTGTAAGTCTACATTGTATTTATGTGTATGTAGGCCGTGTCTGAGGTATCTCAGTCTGTAGATAGGCCGTGTCTGAGGTATCTCAGTCTGTAGATAGGCCGTGTCTGAGGTATCTCAGTCTGTAGATAGGCCGTGTCTGAGGTATCTCAGTCTGTAGATAGGCCGTGTCTGAGGTATCTCAGTCTGTAGGAAGGCCGTGTCTGAGGTATCTCAATCTGTAGATAGGCCATGTCTGAGGTATCTCAGTCTGTAGATAGGCCGTGTCTGAGGTATCTCAGTCTGTAGGAAGGCCGTGTCTGAGGTATCTCAGTCTGTAGGAAGGCCGTGTCTGAGGTATCTCAGTCTGTAGGAAGGCCGTGTCTGAGGTATCTCAGTCTGTAGGAAGGCCGTGTCTGAGGTATCTCAGTCTGTAGGAAGGCCGTGTCTGAGGTATCTCAGTCTGTAGGAAGGCCGTGTCTGAGGTATCTCAGTCTGTAGGAAGGCCGTGTCTGAGGTATCTCAGTCTGTAGGAAGGCCGTGTCTGAGGTATCTCAGTCTGTAGGAAGGCCGTGTCTGAGGTATCTCAGTCTGTAGGAAGGCCGTGTCTGAGGTATCTCAGTCTGTAGGAAGGCAGTGTCTGAGGTATCTCAGTCTGTAGGAAGGCCGTGTCTGAGGTATCTCAGTCTGTAGGAAGGCCGTGTCTGAGGTATCTCAGTCTATAGGAAGGCCTTGTCTGAGGTATCTCAGTCTGTAGGAAGGCCGTGTCTGAGGTATCTCAGTCTGTAGGAAGGCCTTGTCTGAGGTATCTCAGTCTGTAGGAAGGCCTTGTCTGAGGTATCTCAGTCTGTAGGAAGGCCGTGTCTGAGGTATCTCAGTCTGTAGCTCCTAATGTCATGGTGTAAGTCTACATTGTATTTATGTGTATGTAGGCCGTGTCTGAGGTATCTCAGTCTGTAGATAGGCCGTGTCTGAGGTATCTCAGTCTGTAGATAGGCCGTGTCTGAGGTATCTCAGTCTGTAGGAAGGCCGTGTCTGAGGTATCTCAGTCTGTAGGAAGGCCGTGTCTGAGGTATCTCAGTCTGTAGGAAGGCCTTGTCTGAGGTATCTCAGTCTGTAGGAAGGCCTTGTCTGAGGTATCTCAGTCTGTAGATAGGCCTTGTCTGAGGTATCTCAGTCTGTAGGAAGGCCTTGTCTGAGGTATCTCAGTCTGTAGATAGGCCGTGTCTGAGGTATCTCAGTCTGTAGGAAGGCCTTGTCTGAGGTATCTCAGTCTGTAGATAGGCCGTGTCTGAGGTATCTCAGTCTGTAGCACCTAATGTCATGGTGTAAATCTACATCGTATTTATGTGTATGTAGGCCTTGTCTGAGGTATCTCAGTCTGTAGATAGGCCGTATCTGAGGTATCTC